TTTTCGGCCCAGTTAACGATTGTTGAATACAAAAAAAAAATAAAAAATGAATTACCACCCCTTGCATCACCAGGAGTGGGCCTAGTAGTGGCGCTATTTCCTTTAATCAACCGACACGTTGGCATAAATTCCATCGTTTGCCTGAAGGAAATTATTGCATATGGCTCGTTGGTTTGGTTGGTTTGGTGGAAAGTCTCTGAGATAAACTGTGACAATACAATATTAAGCAGGGTGCAAATATAGGCCTGCATTGTGACCTCATTTGTTCAGAAATTTTCTACAGCTCCCACATAGCAATGGGAAAAGTAGTAATGCATTACATGCGTGATTCTCATACTGTTTACTAAGTAATCAGCAATCTAATGTTTTATTGATTATTTTTTCGATTACCATACATTACATTTTCTCACTGAGTTGTTAAGTTTTCTACAGGACACAATATAAATACATACTTGTGTTGCATGTCTGAGTTTATAAAGTGCGCATTCATGTTCATTTGTCCGTAAGTTCGTCTCGAGATTTTCGCAACAATAGAAAGTAGTAATATCATTTACAACAACAACTCAACAATAACAGCAGATTTGTTGTCCCCAGTGCAGTACATAGATTGAAATTTTCCAAAAAAGCAGAGTATATTTGTAAAGGTTACACACTTTGTTATTGGCAAGCATTAGTTGTTGGTTGTCGTCTGGTTCTGGTGCATGCAGCTTTGTTTTGTAGACAACAGAGTTTGTTTGTCGCAAAAGCTGTGATTTTGTGCAACAAAGTTATAGCATTAAAATCAAATAAACGCAATATTCAGAAATAAGCACTCGCATGTTTGTATGCATATGTGCTTTAATGGACAAAATTTAATATGAATGTATTTTTGCAGGAGTTGCAAGCATTTGTGTGTGCGAGTAGAAACAAAAACCCAGGATTCTATCGATCGACTTTCATGTGGACAGACGTATGGATATTACCTTGACATTTTTGCTGCAAAGGTACGTACATATATGTAGGTATGTTCGATTACACATTTTGTTTAAAAATTCAATTCATGCAGCCAAGCAAGATCACGTGCAGTCTTCGATGCATGTAACTAAGATTTAAAATAAAGTCATTTGGAAAATGTAAACTTTTGTTCTTTTGATTCCAAGTTTCTAATGCAATTAATGCATATTTCACATTTCCTTTTCAAATGCACTTGTAAGCAAAAACTTTGTACTTTTTTTATCAAAGATATGCAGAATGGAAGATGTTTTGACGGGGTTTAAATGAAAGTTAGAAAGTAATTTTTGGTCAAAACACTATTAGGAAGTGTGTAAAAACAAAACAAATTTTCACAGTTATACGACACGCATGAAAAAAATACATTTTTTAGGAATTAGTAATGTAAACTCAGAAGATTCAGATACCCAGAAAATAATTGAGCGAAACCCATTTTGACTTTGAGTAGAGTTGGCCTTCAACAGAGAGCCATGTACACCGGCGTTTATTCCACGTTGGATGTTGGTGATAACATGCCTCTAGTGTCTGGTGGCATTCCGTTGATAATACCACATCTTCTTAGGAAAGGATGAGATGCCAAGAGATTGAGCTGGGTCATAGGTCTGGAAATTATGTTCCGTCTGCTATCCCCATTTATAACAAACTACTTTCTTAGAAAGTAGCAAAGAGCACTGGTGCAACAGCTCTGGCTATGCTCAACAGGACTACCTTGGGTTAAGTGCTCACTGAAGGATTTTGCCTAAATAGGTTCCACGTTCTATTTTGGGCACCAAAAGGGAAATGGGACAAATCAGAAGTATTCTCTCTCCAGACTGAAAATTGAAACCAAAGCATTTGGTCTAGCGATGAATAAAACAAAAAACACAAAGGAACTCCTGGCAACAAATATGAGAAGGTTTTGGGGGCCTTTCGAGAGCTATTTTACGCAAAATCTATGGCCCTGTTTGCAAGACGACAAGTGCCGATGGAAAAGTTGTACACATGGATGTAATGCTTTGGTGAAAAGATCCTTCGACTTTGCAATCTTGTATGCACAACAAAAGCAAGGACAAACTGTGTGATAACTGGCCTAACAGAGAATGAAAAATTCGAGAAGTTTTCTTTCGAAGTATTGAAATACAGCAACGGCTGCGCAGGCCCTCTGAAAGTATTCAACTCGGAACCGTCTGGTGGTAGCAGATAAAGGGGGAGCTTCCCACTGCGTTGGAAATATATAATTATATACAAAATATATAATGGAGAAGCACATGGCTTAACTTGGCATTTCCAATTGGCGTGAGTTGGCACAGAACAGAAGCGACTGGCGCGCTTTCTTGAAATTGGCCTAAATCGTTTAGGAGGTTACAGCGCCAAATAAAAAGAAGATATAGCACACGATCATCAAAAGTGACACAATTAAAAATGTAGCATTTTTGAGATTAGGCGCTAAAAATGTACACAGAGTAAAAAATAGTAGGAATGTAAAGATCTTGCAGTACAGCTTGGCTATTAGATATTTCACACGTCAACCATATATTCTGTCTGACATAATGGTAATTTCGTTTCTACCAAAAAATTTCGCCTTTTGATTGCATCTTTCTCTTTTTATGTTCCACAAATTGAAATATTTTTACGTAAACCTCTTCAACCAATATCCCTGGTTCCGATGGCTCAAACCTTCAATACATATTAAATTCAAGGATATCCAATGTTATACGTAACTTAACACTCTGTACCCGAAAACAAGACGGCATATCATATCTAGTATCCCTAAAGGCAATCGTACGCAATGTTTAATATTTACCCTTAAATCGCTTAGCGTGTATCAAATCGTAGTTATAACCACCGACGACAGTGCGCCCCTGTGGTCATCAAGCGGGTACAAGGCAATAATTTCACACTTTAGAGCTGTTTTTGTAATAATATTCCTGTTACTTTTAACTACAATTACTACAAATTAAATTTATTCCGCTTTTGTTTTTGCATAACAATTCGATTTGAATTTGCAACACTCCTCCAAGCAACAATCGTTATTCACTTCCATGCTGCATTTGATCTTTCCCAACACTTACTTATCACCTCTTGCTTCGATCTGCCCACAACCACTACACATACAAACTCTCACTTCTGCGCTTTAAAAATTCGAATTTCACACTTACCGCATCTTCGTTCTCCTCCAGCTTACTATAGCTGGCGCAATCCTCGCACACACGCTGCTGACACTCGAAGCACGTCTTGTGATAGTCGTCGGGCTTGAAGGATTTCAAGCATACACGACACGCCCCCGCACGCCGCCCTGGCTCATTTTTCGATGAATTCGCACTGCCTGTGCTGCTGCCGCCTGTTGTGTTGTTATTATTGTTATTGTTCTGATTGGCCGCATAGGCGTCCTGTGACTGCTGTTGATAGCCGCCGCCATAGCTGCTATCCTCGCTGGGCGCCAACGAGGGACGTGGTGACATTTTATTTACTGCAAATGAAAGAAGTAATAAAAATAGTAAATAGTGCATGGAATAATGGAAGAGCTTGTAAGAGTTGGGTAAGTGTGAGAACACTTGCATGAAAATCAATTAAAATAAATTTTTTTAATTTTTCTAATGGACTTGGTAGTTGTTGTGTGTGGATTTTGTAATGACTAAAATATGTTGGCTTTCGTCAGAAAGGTGTCCGCATAAAATTGGATTGAAACTACTTATTTCAATAAAAGTCTTATAAGAGTATATTTAGAGGGTTGGCAGCGGCCACATAGAGTAAGGGTAATTTACGTGAACCTTTTTTAACAATTAAACTTTTCTTAAAAAAATCACACTTAATACCTTTCGAGCCATAAAATGAAAAGAATTAGTTAATTTAAACAAAAACAAAAACAATTTTTTTTTACTTTAATAAACGATAACTAGTACACTATTCAGTTTTATAGAATTTTATTAAATAAAAATTTTTGTAGTTTTTTTTTAGTAGTTTTACTTGTTTACTTGTTGTTGTAGCTTGCTATGGTTTTTTGCAAAATATAGGCGTTGCATATTTTGCAGTGATAGGAAATGTTGCTTCCCATGTATTTTGTTGTTGTCTGTTCAAAGCGTGCGTTCCAAGGTTTCGCAAAAACTGAGCAGCTAAAAGAAGATATTGAGAAGATTCAGTTCACGTACTTCTAAAACCATTATCAGCATTAAAAGTTGCATTATTGTCAGCCTAAGAGGATTTCTGCATGGGAGCTACTTCAAGCTTCCTAGTAAATTCATCCCACATTTCCCCATTTATTTCCAGCAGGACAAAACTATTTTTATACATTTGCTTTGATGGATTTTTTCACTTTTTTTATGTATTAGAGTATGGGGCCACTTAATTCAAATCATCATTGAGGTTTGAAAAATCAAATATGGTGGACAAATTTTTAAAGATTTATTAAATTCGCACGAAACTTGTTACTTGGGAGTTTTACGTAGTATTTAGACGTTTTTATGGCAGCTGATTCCGAATCTCAAAGTAGGTTTCAAAAGTTTTAAATAATGGGTCCATTACGACGGCTTTCGAATTTAAAAAGTTAGTGAATTTTAAAAGGACATAGTGAAAATTTGACATGTATTAAACAGAGTTGGCAAAAGTTGGCTATCATTTTCTGTGTTTGTGTAGTTTATGTGCTAAATAATAACAATGCGTTAATAGATTTTTGGTAAAGTTCGGCACACTTTTTTGCTGCTATTTTGCACGTTATTTTCATAATTTTCACTACTATTTAGAAAAAAATAGATTTAAACAAAACTTAGGGTGCTCGATACGCCTCTAGCGAATTCTAAAAATTTTAGGGAATTTCTGGTACGCTCAGGACCGTAGCGTTTACAGGTGCAAAATGCAAAAAATGGGCCTTCAAATAAATTCTAGAGTGGAGACGCGTACCCATTAAAAATTCCTAGGAAATTATCCTGGTCCTGGTATCGATTTGAAGACTTTCGTTTTTAGTATTTCGTCTCGCTGGAATCTCCATTCATACCACGGTGTGTCGTCTATTTTCGTTTAGCTAAAATAGTCGACGTTTACCTTGCTTGTCAATGCCGCATAGCGCACTAAAGTGGCCTCGAAATAAGTCATATCAGTGTAGTTATTTTTTTCTTTACATCTTTTGTGTGCATTCTTTCCTGTTCAGGTAAAATTGAAATGTCGCTAATTCGAAAACCTCTTTAACTCCTTAATTATGAATTATCGTGACTCCAATGTATGTGAAAAAATGTTGTTTAATTATTGGCTAGTTGGATGCAGCATTGCCTAAGTATGATTCATGATAGAATTTCTGTGCACTTTCTTTTGCAAGCTCTGAAATCCTTAATTGCCGAAAATTATTATTATCGTTATTAATGTAGCTTGGTCTAGAAATCATCTTATTTCATCCACGGCGAATTTGCATACATCCTTCTGGCTTTGTGTGTAGTAGAGCCTTAATGTCCGATTAATGTACGAGTATCAACTGTGCGCTGAATCAGAGACATTGAAGGATTACTTTGTTATTGTAGCTGCGGCAGCGAATTTAAGTGGCGATACAAGAAAATTTAGAAATTAGGGAAGCATCTTGAATCTCATAGAATACCCCCGCTCCTGTGCAAGTTTTTTGAATTCATCAGTGAAACGGGGCAATAGAGTCCATTTCTCTCGCTCATTGTCCAGTTCCTCCTAGAAGAAAAGGCCATCCGCTAGTTTTTATCACTATTGAAAGACGTTTAGATATGTCGCGGCAAGACGTAATCTATAGGCAGCTGATTTTACGTCGGACTTACAGTATAATTTTTGTAAGAAAATATTATTAATATATGTACTCAAGTGTATGCCATAATCAAATACATCAATTAGAAAGATACTCAGGTATTTATTTATATGTAGCACGTAAATATGTCAAATCACATTTTTCGCAGTAATGATGATAAATCCAATATTTTGGTAAAAAATGTTGTTGCTGAACTTTGCTGACAGCGGATAGCGTGGGAGAAAATTGGCAACACACACACACACGCGAATATACAGTAGAGCCGCAGCCAACAGCAAAGCTTGTGGAAAATAAATGGATTTTTAATTGAATTAGACGCGTTCATCAGCAGACATACTAACATACTAAAGTAAATAAGTACACACACGCGTTCATTGCCTGTTGCTCACTGCATGTTTTTTCACTAAATTATTTATGCATTTGTTTTCTATTTGTATGTGTATGTGAATGTGAATGCGAGTAGTTAAATAAAATGTGTCAAGAGTTCAGGTCATGTGAAAAAGTATGCTAAACTGCAGTTGACAGCCATCAACCGTTATCATTTAATCAAATCACTGCCAATGTTAGTGAGGCCAGAGCGAGTGAGACAGAGAGAGAGAGAGAGAGAGAGAGAGATGGATATTGTCAACAGCCACATTAACATGTCAAAAACTTTTAATTGAACAATTAGCCAAAGAGGAAAATACTAAACTTTTATATGGTTTTTAATAGGAATTTAACATACATATGTATATAGCTGTATGTACAAGTATATTTGTGGAAACTTAACGCATCAGCGAGCATTCCACGAAACAAAAAAATGTATTTTCATCGCCACATCAATTAGTTTTTCAGACGAATTTTTCAGCAAAAATGTATTTTATTTAAAAATAAAATTAGCATAGATTAAATCGATCTCCCATTTGGTTTCATTTTATGATACTTGTATATATATAATTTACAACAACAGTAAAAAAATATCATTTAGCGTTCTTTTAGCGGAAATATATTTTATATATGGGGCGTTCCACGTCAACCGGAACAGTAAGATGGTCGAAGTTTTTTGGAACGGATAACAAAGTTTAGGGTCCTCAAATGGTGTTGTCTAGATGTCCTTCATTGAAAGCAGTGTAGCAAGAGACACCATGGCTTCTAAAGTAAATGTAAATTGGATTTTGCTTTAAAACTTTTGTGTTTCTGGTAACGAATCTTAGACCTTATTCAAAAAATCAAAAATAGTGAATCCAATATGGCAACAAAAAAAAAACTAAAATCTCAAATTAGGAAAATTCAGAATGGCGAGCCCAATATGGTAGTCAACAAAAAAAAAAAAAAAAAAAAAAAATTTTTTTAAAAAAACATATAAAAAAACCAAAAAAAAAAAAAAAAAAAAAAAAACAAATTAAAAATAAAAAGGGGGACCCGAAAAGGGTAATAAAAAAAAAAAAAAAAAAAAAAAAAAATTGTTCTTAAGATCGCTGATTACGAACCTCAAATCAAATTTAAAAAATTCAAAATGGCCGATCCAAACGCCAAGTGTGTACTTTCGAATTAAAATTCCCACATTTTAAATTTTCTTTGACCAAGAAAATCCGCGAGTATCAAGCTTGGAGTTAAAATGTTGAATTTGTAAATAATGGACCTCCCCTTGGATTCGCCATTTTGAATTTTTATAATGCGGCAGCAGATCTGTATGCAGCTAGCCAAAAAGTGCTTAAAAGAGCATCCCTTGATCTATTTTATTAGGCTTTGCAAATTTTTCTAATGATATTATCTGTCAGCTCGTGAGTTTGATTTTCCAAAATCGTCACACTGTCTTCAAAGTAGCAAGAGTGTACAAAAAAAGCTCTGTTCCGATTAGCATGGAACTCCCCATATATAATTTAGCAAAGAAATCTAGCTTTCAATCAATTTTATTTAATCATATATATTTTTTACAACAACAACAAAAAATTCTTAAGCATTATCAATCATTTTCATCTCTGGTAAACAACGAAGCTTATACTCGGACTATTTGAACATTCTACCCACAATGGAGCGTTCCTAAATAATTTATTAAATAGACAGAAACTGCTTAAAGTAATAGCCATTAAAAGCACTTATGTATATTTATAAAAATATGTTAAAATTACAATTGAAATTGATGTTCCTGACAAATATGATATGTGCCCGGATGAAAAAATATTTAAGTGCCGTTTGCTGGCATTAAAAACCGTTAACAGTGACATTTAGTATGATGCTTCGCTTACCACTCTAATTATAGCTTTGAATATTTAATAGCGGCCGCCATGGCGTATACGTCACTTAGTCACGTTCTGACAACAGAGTTTTGCTTGCATTAACGATACGTTTTTTCGATAGTTTCATTTTTTTCTCAATTACTGCATAGTGGCATTTGCTGTTTTTTCGTTCCATTTCTTGGACTTGGATTTGATACTTAGCCGTTAAAGTATTAAATGCCAGGACGTGAGTAGTGTTTGTTACAACAGCGATTTAGCGGCACAATTTCCAGCGATCAGTCAATTTGCATAAATGTTTTATGTAAGCAGTGATTTAGTACTGTTAGATTATTAGAGCAGAATTAGAGGAGAAACTCCTAGCAATTATTATTATTATTATGAAACAGTTTTGATACGCACTTCGTTGGAAAATGACGAGCAAGGTATGCTGGGGCAGATTTATATATGACTTAAATCTGGTAGAAGCAATTCCGTGAGGTTTTTGGAGGTTAATTA